CAGGGGTGGAACTGCCCAAGGCCATGGGAGCCCACTTCTTGCATCAGCATGACCTGGACATGAATGAGACACGGAGTCAAAGGAGGGTATTTTGGAGCTTTCAGATTGACTGACCCACTGAATTTCAGACTTGCATTGGGCCTGTAGCCCCTTTGTTTTGGCCAGTTTCTCCCACTCAGAATGCCTGTATTTACCCAATGCCTGTATCGCCATTGTATCTAGGAAGTAACTAGCTTGCTTTTGATTTTACGGACTCATAGACAGAAGGGACTTCTTGTCTCGTATGAGACTTTGGACTGTGGACCTTTGAGTTAATGCTGAAATGAGTTAAGAATTTGGGGGACTGTCAGGAAGGCATGATTGGTTTTGAAATGTGAGGACATGAGATTTGAGAGGGGCCGGGGCAGAATAATATGGTTTGGCTATGTCCCCATCCAAACCACATCTTGAGTTCCCACATGTTGTGGGAGGGACCCAGTGGGAGGTAATTGAACAATGGGGGCAGGTCTTTCCCATGCTATTCTTGTGACAGTCTCATGAGATCTGATGGTTTTAAAAATGGGAATCTCCCTTCACAAACTCTCTTCTTTCGTCTGATGTGCCTTCTTCTTTCGAAAGAGATGTGCCTTCCCTTTCTGCCATGATTATAAGGCCTCCCCAGCCACATGGAACTGTAAGTCCAGTAAACCTCTTTCTTTTGTAAATTGCCCCGTCTCAGGTATGTCTTTATCAGCAACATGAAATGGATTAATACGCTCATGGTACTGGTTACATAGGTGTGTTCATTTTATGAAAACTTGTCAAGTTGTATGCTTATGAATTGCATACTTTTTTGTATATATTTTGTAATTCAAAAACAACTACATTAAAATAAAAACAGTAAAAGAATACATAGGAAGCTTCAAGTAAAAAGTAGAAACAACAGTTATTGGAATATAGAGAAGGGAATGATCAGTACTGTTCATAAAGTTTTCATTGAAAGCACTACTCAAACAAGCAGAAAGAGCACTTTCTGGAAGAGATAAAACACAAAAGTCTGTACTTTATCTTGCCTAGAGAAACAGGGGTATTCAGTGGCCACAGTGGAGAGTAACTTATTTAGAAGAGGGAGTTCATTTTCTAAGACAAGTAAATAAAGTCAGTATGTATTATTTGTAGATAAACCTAATTATTATATGAAATGCACTTTTATGCTGTATCAGTCATTCATACTGAAAAGTTTTAAAGTCGACTTCTCTCTTCTTTTAATGAGTGACTACTAAAAAGAATTTCTTTTGTATCCCGATTGCAACTTTTTTAGATCAGAACCTTCTGCTGACTTTAAAGAGTATCCAAATAACCTTGTTTCCCACCCTTATATGTTACAAAGATAAATTGCTTATTTTTTTTTACTTCAAAGCTAAATGATTAATCCTTAACTCCTCCTTATTCTCCCCTTAAAAGCTGAAAGAGAAGTTTGTATGGGAGAAAAATCAAAGGATAAGGATAATCTGTAGTCCCTAACTAATGAGTTATCTTTAGGGCAGCACTGTCCAATAGAAGTATAATGTGAGCCATAATTGTGAATCACATCTGTAATTTTAAATTTCTTAGGAGCCACATTAAAAACAAAAGAAATAGGTGAAATTATTTTATTAATATATCTTATTCAACCAAATATGTCCAAAATACTATTTTAACATGTAGTTAGTATTAGACCATTTTAATAAATGCCATTTACATCTTTTTTCACATTAAATCTTTGAAATTCAATGTATATGTTGCACTCTTAGCACATCTTAGTTTTAACTAGTGACACATTGAATGCTGAATTGCCATGTGTGACCAAAAGTGCAGCCCTAGAGCTACACTTGGAAATTATTGGACAGCAAATGTCCAGGAAAGAAGTTACTTTTTTAAAGAGATTTTCTTATCCAGCAGATAGTTATTGAATATCTCGTATGTGCCTATATCTAGTTTAGTGCAAAATACCTTATCAAAAACTACTAGATGTTTCTCTGAGATTCTATCATAAATAACACTTTCTCATAATACGTTCTAAAATTATGCTTTTAAAAAATAGAATTCACTTTTTTCTTAAGCACTTTTAAAAATATATTGACTTGCTTCAAGTTTTTCTATTCAGTAGCCTACATAATTGTACATAATTACGAAAATGTAAATTTTATTCAATTGGGGTTTTTTGGTATTTCAAGCTTATATTTTGCCCTTTTTTACAATAATTTCAACTTTCATTTTAGATTCAAGGATTACATGCACAGATTTATTACATAGGTATATTGCGTGATGCTGAGGTTTGAAATACTAGTGAACCCATCACCCAAGTAGTGAGCATAGTACCCAACAGTTTTTCAACTCCTTCTCCTCTCATCCTCCCGACTAAGAGTCCCCAGTGTCTATTGTTGCTATCTTTATGTCCATGAGTACCCAGTATTTACCTCCCACTTATAAGTGAGAACATTATTTATTTGGTTTTCTGTTCCTGCATTAATTCACTTAGGATAATGGCCTGTACCTCCATACATGTTCCTGCAAAGGACATGATTTCATTCTTTTTTATGGCTGCATAGTATTCCATGGTGTATATGTACCATATTTTCTTTTTCAAATCCATTAGTATTCCATGGTGTGTATGTACCATATTTTCTTTATCAAATCCATCTTTGATGGACAGCTAGAATGATTCCATGTCTTTGCTATTGTGAGTAGTTCCTGCAGTGAACATGCAAGTGCATGTATCTTTTTGGTAGAACAATTTATTTTCTTTTTGGTATATACCCAGGAATGGGACTGCTTTGTCAAATGGGAGTTCTGTTTTAAGTTCTTTGAGAAATCTCCAAACTGCTTTCCACAGTGGCTGAATTAAGTTACAATTCCACCGGCAGTGTATAAGTGTCCTCTTTTCTCCATAACATCATCAACATCTGTTGTGATAATGACTGATAGCCATTCTGACTTCTGTGAAATGGTATCTCATTGTGGTTTTGATTTACATTTTTCTAATGAGTAGTATTGTTGAACGTTTTTTAATGTTTCTTGGCTGTTTGTGTATCTTTTAAGAAGTGTCTGTTCATGTCTTTTGCCTACTTTTAATGAGGTTATTTGTTGAATTTTTTAAGTTATTTTTATTTTTATTGGTTTTTTTTTTGACAGAATCTCACTCTGTCACTCACTTGAGTGCAGTAGTGTGATCTTGGCTCACTGCAACCTCTGCCTCCCAGGTTCAAGCAATTCTCCCATCTCAGCCTTCCGAGTAGCTGGGATTACAGGCACCCACCACATCTGACTAATTTTTGTATTTTTAGTAGAGGCGGAGTTTTCACCATACCATGTTGGCCAGTCTGGTCTCAAACCCCTGACCTCAAGTGACCCACCTTCCCTGGCCTCCCAAAGAACTGAGATTACAGGTGTGAGCCACTGTGCCCAGCCTTGAATTGTTTATGTTCCTTATGGATTCTGGATATTAGACCTTTCTCAGATACATAGTTTACAAATATTTTCTCCCATTCTGTAGGTTATCTCTTTACTCCATTGATAATTTTTTTGCTGTGTAGAAACTCTTTATTTTAATTAGATCAATTTTTGTTTTTGTTGCAATTGCTTTTGAGAACTTAGTCATAAATTCTTTCCCAAGGCCAATGTCCAGAATGGTGTTTCCTAGGTTTTCTTCTGGGATTCTTACAGTTTGTGACCTTACCTTTAAATCTTTAATCCATACTGAGTTAGTTTTTATATATAGTGAAAGATAGAGCTCTGCTTTCATTTTTCTGCATAGAGCTAGCCAGTTATCCAAGCCCTATTTATTGAACGGGGGATCCTTTCCCTGTTTCTTTCTTTTGTCAACTTTATCAGAGATCAGATGGCTGTAGGTGTGCAGTTTTATTTCTGGGTTCTCTATTCTCTTCCATTGGTTTAGATGTCTGTATTTGTACCAGTACCATGCTGTTTTGGTTATTGTAGCCTTATAGTATAATTTGAAATCAGGTAATGTGATGCCACTGGCTTTGTTCTTTTCACTTAGGATTGCTTTGGCTATTTCAGCTCTTTTTTGGTGCCATGTGGATTTTAGAGTAGTTTTTTTCTAATTCTGTGGAGAATGATGTTGGTAGTTTGATAGGAATACTGTTGAATCTGTAGACTGCTCTGGGCAGTGTGGCCATTTTAACAATATTGATTCTTCCAATTCATGAGTATGGGATGTTCTTCTGTTTCTTTGTGTTGTCTGTGATTTCTTTCAGCAATGTTTTGTAGTTCTCCTTGTAGAGATCTTTCCCCTTCATGATTAGATGTATTCCTAGGTGTTTGTGTGTGTGTGTGTGGCTACTGTAAATGGGACTGCATTCTTGATTTGGCTCTCAGTTTGAATGTTATGGGTGTATGGAAATGCTGTTCATTTTTAAACATTGATTTTATAGCCTGAAACTTTACTGAAGTCCTTTATCAGTTCCGGGAGACTTTTGGCAGAGTCTTTAGGATTTTCTAGGCATAGAATCACATAGTTTGACCTCTTTTTTCCCTATTTGGATGCCTTTTATTTATATCTTTTGCCTGATTGCTGTGGCCAGGACTTCCATATTTTATTCTTGACAATAAAAACATTACACTTATTTGAAAACTTTGCTTGAAGTTATTAAGTTTAAACATTGTGTAGAACGAAAGTGACTATTTTTCATAGCTTCTTCAAGTGTAATTCCTTTATCAATTTTAGAATATGTTGACATAAATCATGTTTTGAAAGCTGATGAGTTTATTGTTATTGTGCACAGAAAAAGCATTTTGTCTCAAATCTGTTATATTTATATACTTAAGGAAAAAATCTGGCTTTTGGTGCCTGCATTGATTATTTGTACTTTTGATGATTTAAATGATTTTTGATATTTTTTACTTAATAATTGTTATAGACTGGGTTATCAAGTAAAAGTTTTTAAAATATTAGGCTTGAATTTTTAAATATCTTTACTTTTATATTTCTCTCTGTCTCTTTTTCTTCCTGTGCATAGGTGTACAAAATACTAGTAAAGAAAACCCCAGAAGAAAGCTGGGTAGTTTTCAGAAGATACACTGACTTCTCTAGGCTTAATGACAAAGTAAGTACTATAATAAATCCAAACTAACATTTCAGTTTTGAATTCTTTTCTATTTCCTATACTTCTGTTATATTTTTTCTTCTTTATTAATTGAGTCAATCAAATCCTTTCTAGTTCATAAGAAAATTAAATTTTTAAATTAAAAATTAAAAAAAAAATTTTTTATAAAAAATTTTTAGTATAAAAATATGAAACTTTAAAATTGCCAACAGAAATATAAATAATTGTGAGTTTGAAAAAGATGTGTATAAGATCTTTTGAATTATTATAAAATTATATATGTCTATAAGATAATGAACAAAAACATATTTAACATATTATATTAGTTTCTTATTACTGCATAATAAATTACCATAAACTTTGTTGCTTAAAATGACACCTGTTGATTATTTAGTTTTTTGGGTGGGTTCAGCTGTGTTTATTGCTTAGCATCAAGCACGGTCAAAATCAAGCTGTTAGCTGTGCTAGGCACTTATATGGAGGCTCTGGGGAAGAATTACCTTCCAAGCTTATTCAGGTTGTTGGCAGAATTTAGTTTCTTGAAGTTGTAGGGCCAAAGTTTCTGTTTCCTGGCTGATTGTCAGCCAAAAATCATTCATAGTTTATCATAGAGAGTGCCCTCCAGTCCTTGCACATAGCCCCTCTGTCTTCAAAGCCAGCAACAGTGAGCCAAGTTCTTCCTGTGCTTTGAAGCTCTCCAGCTTTCTTCTCTGCCACCAACTAGAGAAAACAGTCTAAAGGAGTCATGTGGTAAGATAAAGCTCACCCAGGTAATCTTCCTATCTTAAAGTCAATTGATTAGTAACCTTAATTACAGCTGCAAAATCCCTTTTTCTATGTAACATAATAAAATCACAGAAGTAATACCAGAGGCAAAGGTCATGGAACATTTAGAATTCTGTCTACTGTGCATACGAAACGGAATAAGAAACCTCAGTGTATTAAGAACCCTTAAAACTAAATTAGGAAAGTGAACCCCAGAGTAAAAAATGCAACAAACAGTATGAGCAGGATAATTCACAGAAGAAATATAAATGACCAGTAAACCTAGAAAACACTTAATATCACAGATACTCCAAGAAAAGGAAATTAAGACACTGTTTTTCACCTGTCAAGCTGACTGATATTTAAATGATAATACCCAGTGTTAGAAGTATGAATCTTCCTAGAGGACACCCAAAAGTTTTGCATAATTTAACATTATAATCACATTTCTAGGATTTATCCTATATAAGTAGTCATAAACATGGGAAATATTTAGCTTTAAGGACACTTACCTCATTGTTTTGTATATTGTTTTGTTTATCTATGTTTTACTTTGTTTTTAGTAGTTAAAAGTTGGAAGCAACCTAAATTTCTCAAAATGAAGAATTAAGTAAATTATTATTAGAATTTAATAGCAAAAGAAGAGCTGCCTTGTCCCCAGAGCTAGAGAAAATTTAGATGGGGCAATAGGCAGAGAGTGTGATATTTTGGAAGCCAAGTGAAAAATCATTTATCTAAAAGAAGCAAGCCATTTATTATGCTTTTGAGAGGCCAAGTAAGATGATCTTAGAACATGCAGAAATTACTCTCCAATTTTGACAGGTGTTTAATAAGAAAGTTTTACTGGTCCTGTTCTCTCCCATTTGCCACTTTTCCTTTCCTCCTTCTTTGGACTCCTTGAAACTTTAAAGTTAGTATATTTTTATAGTGTTTGGTGATGGGAAACCCATGTAACTTTGTAGTTATTTAGCTGCCAAATTTTTCTGCCACTCTAAAAACCTCAGTTTAAATGAAAAGGTAAAATATAGAATGCTAAAATATTTTATCCATTTTAAGTTTTGGTTAAGATGCTTTCTTGTAATATGCCAAAATAAAGTGTTATTTCTAATGCATACCTACAATTATGTATGTATTTTATTTACTGTTCCTGAGCTTCATATATTATACTGATGAATTTAAAATTTATAATTCTGTACTTCTGTTAATTTTTTGAGATGACTAAATAAACAGAAAGATAAAAGCAATTCATGAAGTTACCTGATAGTTAAGTGGAATACTTAGCTTTTAATGAAATTATTACAATTTTTATCATGCAGACTGATTTCAAACAGTTTCATTGTAGACCTATTTAACCCTATATGACATTATTTTTCTTTTCAGACTCCACTGTTATTTAGTGTTTACTTCCTATTATCTCTTTAGTTTTCATCTTTATTGCTGAAATATTTTCTTAGGCAAGCTGAAATTTAGATAAATCTTTTTGAAAAAAGATGATAGCAGTTTAATTTAAATTTAGTAAATATCTCCTTGATCCTCCAAGATGGGCATTTAAAATTAACAAATGTTTATGTCGGTGTTATAGGTATCAGAAAGAGCTCTACCTGTCACTTGCTTTTAGTGGCAATATTTTTTAAAAGTATGTCAAACACCAAGAGGCACACAGTTTAAATTGTAGTTATTATTAATATAATTGTAAAAAAATAAAAGCTTAGGATCTTTCATTTTATAAAATCAATCATGAAGTATTTATGAAATGAGTAGATTGAGTTCAGCATTGTGCTAGGAATTTGGAGTTACTGTTATGTAGAAACTATATAGATATGACTAACTTTAAGGAACTTACATTTCACAGTTATATAGTTATGAAGTAAAAATAGCTAATTGGTGATACAAACATTATTGAACATAACTAAAATAACACTGCTTAGAAAAAGAACATTTATATAGAACATTAATATTTTCTTTTTGTTTTATTTTTATTTCCTGGGTTATGTTCTGACTTCAGCTTCTCTGGGAGTGATAAAAGCCTCTGCTGAGGAAGTCAGAGGACAAAGTCATGAGCAAATTCTAGAATGCACAGGACTTATCAGAGTTGGGGCAACCAGGCAGGGTTTTAGGTTGGGCTGGGAGATGTATTGATTGTAGAAATATGGCCATAAGAAGTGAGTTTTTCTCTAAATTCTATTTAAAATTTAAGCTCAATATTTCTACTTCCAGGTTACAGCAGTAGGACAAAGCTGAACATTTCTGTGAGGTAAAATTACTGTTCTCAGTTGCTTCCAGGCAGCAGAGCTTAGGGAGGAGAGAGCAGGACCTTACCAACTCATTGTCAAGACATTCCAGGTTCATATAAAAAGTCCATGGCAGATTCAACCAGGCATTCAGTCTTCACATTAAAAACAAGTTCAGTGATATTCTTCCACATGTCTGTCTCTTGAGTCACGCTGCTCTCTCTTAAACTGATCTGCCCACCATATGAGCTTCATAAGTGGCATCCTGAGATTGCCTTGAAAAAATCACCGTCTTTCTGGTGATTTTTTTTTCATTTCTCTCCTTTGTTGGATCTTTTCTCTATCCCTTATCTTCCTCTTCTTGAATTACCCAATTGTGGGACAACTTCTTTTCTGCGGTAATTTTTTAAGGGGCGAAAAAAATCTAACCATTTAAATTATAAAGCTTAAAATTAATAAAAAGACTATTTTCATTTCCCTCATGACTTTTGTCATTTTATTTTCTTTCCAGATACATTAAATAACAAAGCTCCAAGGCCATAAATATCTAGTTACATCTTGAAATCAAATTAAGGTTTTTAGTTATCTAAGTTACTCTGTAGTTTTTGCCCTATTTGTTTTATCTTCACATGTGTATAGAAATATAGACAGAATATTATAATTTTTCCATTTTTCCACTATTTTATCCAGTGCATTTTTCCTTTGTAGTTATGATATTCATTTTATATTTAAGTATAGAAATGCAAATGTACACGGATTCATTTCAGTCATTCATTTATTGAACATATATTGTTGACTGCTTGTTATGTCACAGTCACTATACTAGACATAAAAGATGTAACTATGACAAAGGCATGCGTAATAATTGTAGTGTACTAAAAGGGTTCCCAATCTTAATTACACTTTGGATTCCCCTGGAAAGCTTTTTAAAATTACAATGCCCAGGCCTCATTTCAACTAATTAAATCCTAATCTATCAGAGATGGGAAACAATCATTAATATCTTTTAAAACTCCTTGGGTGATTCTAATGTGCAGCCAAAGTTTAGAATCACTGGTCTAATAAGAGAGCCTAAATTAAATGTGCTGTTTACATTGTGAATGATGTCATTAAAGAAATAAATTTATGATTTGACAATGTGTATCAAATTGTCTTTTCTAAAAGTTATCACAGCAGTATCTTCAGTCCCATATGCTCTTCCTGAATCTTGCCACGGCCCATCAAGAGGTAGAATACATTTCCCCTCCCCTTGAACCTGGATGGTCTTGCGACTACTCAACCCAATAGAGGTCAGTGGAAATAATGCTGTGTGACTTTTAAGCCTGGATTACAAGAAGTACACAGTTTCATTCTGGCTTGCTTTCTTGGAATGCTCCCTTTTGAAGCCAGCCTCCATGCTGCAGGAGAAGTCCAGGATACCTGGAGAGGCCAGTGTTAGGTTTATGGCTGACAACCTTGGCAAAGTTCTCAGCCAGCAGCCAGCATCATCCACTATAGATGTAAGTGAGTGAACCTCAGACAATTCCAGCACCCAGCCTTCAAGTCTTTCAGCTGAGGCCTGAATTCATTGTATGATAGAGATATATTGTTCTCACTGTACCTCATATGAATTATTGGCCTAAAAAAATCTGTGAGCTTAATATTAATAAGTGGTTATCTTATATCACTGAGATTTCGGGTAATTTGTTACACATTGTGGTAACTTGAGCAGAATGTAGAAGGGAAGACTTAACCTAGTTTACAGGGTTGGGAAAGTCTTCCCTAAGAAAGTAAAATTTAAGCCGAATGTATAAAATAGGTCATAATCAAAATATAAAAGTTAAAACTAAACTTTTAGGAAAGAAACATAGAAGAAAATCTTTACAGCCTTGGAGTAAGCAAAAATTTTTTTATGATTAAAAAAAAGCATAAACCATAAAAAACAATGGATGAATTAAATAACATTCAAATTAAAAAAACATCTGCTCTGTTTAGACTTAAATTGAAAAGTCAGGGCAAGTTGGGAGAAAATATTTATAATACATATATCTGACAGAGGACTTGTATCTGAAATATATAAAGAACTCTTCTAACTTAATAAAAAGGCAACCTAATTTTTTAAAAGGTAAGGTGCTACAAAATTTAATACATAATTCACCATTGAAGATATTCAAATGCAAATGAGCAGATAAGAAGATATTTCTTTGCTTTGTCAGCAAAGAAATGCAAATTACAACCAGAATGAAATGGTTCTACACCCCCAATAAAATGGTTAACATTCAAAAGATGGACAATGCCAAGTTCTGGCAAGGATGTGGAAAGACTGGAACTCTTCTGTGTACACAACTGGTAGAAAACAAGAAATAAGGCATACGAAGCTTAACTGAATTTAATTCTTTTATTTTAAACTTATTTCATGAATAATTCATGTAGTCAACAGGATAGATTTTGTAGAATTGATAGTGCTTGAGTTAAACGTTGTATTTGCTCTTTATTTCTTTTTCAGTTAAAAGAGATGTTTCCTGGTTTTCGACTAGCACTTCCTCCAAAACGCTGGTTTAAAGACAATTACAATGCCGACTTTTTAGAAGATAGACAATTAGGATTACAAGCGTTTCTTCAAAATTTAGTAGCTCACAAGGACATTGCTAACTGGTATGTAACGAATTAAAATAAGAAATTATAAAAGCATCCCAATAACTGGTGTAAATTAAAGAATAAATCTATGATCATAGTTATTTAAGAACAAAAAATCAGAGTTGGAGTATAATTGTCTTCTTTAACAAAGTACTACAGCCGGGCGCGGTGGCTCAAGCCTGTAATCCCAGCACTTTGGGAGGCCGAGACGGGCGGATCACGAGGTCGGGAGATCGAGACCATCCTGGCTAACACGGTGAAACCCCGTCTCTACTAAAAAAATACAAAAAACTAGCCGGGCGAGGTGGCGGGCGCCTGTAGTCCCAGCTACTCGGGAGGCTGAGGCAGGAGAATGGCGTGAACCCAGGAGGCGGAGCTTGCAGTGAGCCGAGATCCGGCCATTGCACTCCAGCCTGGGCGGCAGAGCGAGACTCCGTCTCAAAAAAAAAAAAACAAAGTACTACAAGGGATTTTCTTGCTTTCTTTCAATAAGGACTTTATTTGACATTTCATTTTTATCATTTGACATTTCATTTTTATCAAAGCTTATTTTAAACAGTCAGTAAAGTGAAAAATCCAGTGTACCATGTACTAAAACCACCCAAAGGTAAACTTTTAGTATTTTGTATTTTAGCAATGACTTAAAACCACTTACATATTAGTAAAATTTTGGTTTAGGGTAATATTCTTTATATTTCTCCAAAGTAGTGCAAAAATATTAAAATTGTGAAGTTGGCTTAATTTACATAGAAGGTAGAGTGAAAATACCAAACAGCATTAAAAAAGGAAAAGAACAGAGCTATATGGGTTTTTTGCGTCAGAGTATATTTACAAGAAAATTGCTTGGTGGTTTAGTATTAGCTGAGTATCTAATTTTGGAACTCATGTTAGCAGATAAATTAAAACTATTTCGAAAAAAAAATTAGAGAGCATTTATAATACAGCAATAGCTTATAGATAACTTGGGCCCATAACTGTCTTGAGCAGTTTTTTACATGAGGATGGAAAACAAATTAAGAAAACCATTCTAATTTTTTCTATCTCTTTTTCTCACCCTTTGCATGTATCAAGTTTTTTCCTGCATAACACACACGCGATATATATATATATATACACACACACACACACACAAACACACATATATATATACACAGATATGTGTGTGTGTATATATATATACACATCTTGCTTGTCAATGTGTGCCACATAAGCCTGATGGCTTCTCAAGGTCTCTGCCCATCCTCATTTTTCTTTTAATGAAGGAACTGCAAGCCAAACCCATTCTTTCTACTCCAGATTGATATATGCAATTGCCTCCTCGACATCTCCTTCAGATATCTGAAAATTACCTCAAACATAAAATACATTTGAAAGTTTAGTCTGCAGACATTTTTTCCTCCAATTTGCACAAGCAGCATCATCTACCCAGAACCTGTGAGTCATCTTTAACACATCCCTCACTACCCTTAACATTTCCCTTGCAAGTACCACTCAAGTCTGTCTACTTTTCTCCATCCCTGCCATCACTACCCTAGTCTAAGCAGGTATCCCTCACCTTAATTACTGTAGATGCTTTCTCACTGGTTTTCCTCCTCCACTGTTATTACTATAGCCCAGTAAAGCAACAGTGATCTTTGTGCTTCAGTTTGACTTAAAGTATTCTTTCTGGTCCCTGCCTACCTGCCTTCTTTCCAACCTTGGGTTTTCTTATTCCTACCCACCTCCCATTCTCTGTGTATTTGCCATATTGGTCTTCTTTTAATTCTCCAAAATCACCTTGCTCCTTGTCTCTCAGAGCCTTCAAATATGCTATTTCCTGAAAAGGCAACATTTCACACTTCTACCCCACCCAACCCTGACCTCATACCTTACCCATCCTTCAGTTTTCAACACAAACTTCACTTCCTTAGGTAACTGGCCTCCTGACTGACCACTCACCACCACTACCACCACCAAACACTAGGTCAGTTCTTTATCACAGAGTCTGTACCTTCCCTTCTCAACTGGCTCTGATGCTTTAAGACACCATTCATCACCCATAGGTAATGAATTAACTTATTTCCTGTATTCTAAGATGATACTAGCTATGTGCCAGTCTCAATAGAATTGAGACAATAATCACTTAAATCATTATCAGTAGGGGTCAGTTCTCTCTTGGAATCTCAGTTGAGAAAGGCTAATTGGTACTTCACTATCAATGCACTTCAGCATATAATTTTTTCTGTCAATATTTGTCTTTCTCCCACCAGATTATAAGATGTATAACAACAGGTCGTGTGGCTATTTTATTCACCATCCAATCTCTAATGTTTAGCACAGTGCTAACATAGTTGGTTCTCAATAAGTACTTCTTGAATGAATGATAGAACTATTGATATTCACTGATATACTGTGTATTAGAAAAAAAAAATTGAAGCCAGTGTGACAGAGTTAGCGATTATGTGGTCTAGGTGGTGAGAACATAGTGCTCCCCACTTTTCTATACATATATATATATCTTTTTACATCTCAAAAGAAAAAAGAGAAAAGATTAGTGTTAATTCAGACACACAAAGCAGGAATAAAAACCAGTAAACACCAAACTTATAGAAAAAGCCTTGGAAGAAAATATATTTGATAGCATACCATAAAAGAGGATTTTTACTACCACCAAGAAATCGACATATCCTCTCCCCTTTTCTCTTTCCCCTTGTTCAGTAAACCTTTATGTCTCTATATTTAAGATGTTGTGGTGAATTAAAATCAAATGTATTCTATAAATGAATTCTCTGTTTTTAAAATACTGATAATAGATCTTAGTTGCTAAAGTAGAGATTACTAGGGCCATTTGAGATCCTGTCATTTCTAAAGCTGCATAGCTCAGAACAGTGGTAATGGTCTTGCTCAATTCATAAAATAGGCGTTTTAGGGAAAGAAAGGTTTATTGGCCAAATAAGTTGGGGAAGGGTTTCATTTGATATTCCTAGAGGATTAAAGGTTCTAAAAATCTTGCATGAAAGAATCTAATATGCCTTGCATTTGTTTGCCTACCTGCCTTTGTCATATATCATCAGATATTTAGGGAATGCAGGAAGATAACTTCAATTCAATTAAAAACAGGGTACTTGTGCCTTGGTACCCACTATCTTTTTTATAGGTGATAGGTAGCATTTTTTATTTCACAATGTTAGAGACTTCTTAATAACATATTGCTTAAAATGTGAGTTGGGGAAGAGGAGGAAGGGTTACTGATACAGAGCAAATCTTATGCATTTGCCCTGTATCATAGGGTATAAAAGAGGGGATATACTCACTGGTTTTAAAAATCACTTAGAAAAATAGACTCCTGTTTGAACAAAATAATGACATTTGGGAATTGCTACTTGGTATGATACAGTTTATAAAAGTAACAAGAACTCAAAGAAGCGGGGAGATCAGTGCTGTTTGCAATGATCAAGCAATACTGGCAGTGGGATTTTGAGAGCCTGGAATGCTTAAGATTATGGGTAGGAAGATGGATATGAGTCAGAAACAAATAATTAGAAAGTGTATAGAAAGTCTGAGGTTGCCAAATATTTATGAATTGATGGTTGATCCATTAAAAAACTAGCACAGTACTTGCCTACATTTTTTGAGATTTTATCTTTTCATCCCTTAGTATTGTTCCTTCTATAAAATACATACCTAATTCTAAATGTATCACAGACTAAATTATTGCAGTGATTCTGTCATCAGTATTACTGTTGTACTGCGTAGCCAAGATTTTAACTATCTCTGCAATCTAAATTCAAATAGTAGTTGGAGCGTAAGGTAGTTCATCAGACAAAAGCTCCAACTACTATTTGTATCCAACAATGTAGAAGAAGAGTGAAAGAAGATTCTCTCATTTTTTACAATTGAAAAGGAAGGGGGGAAATCCCGCCTAAGGGAGAAAAGGAAAAAAGACAAAATCTCAACATTTCTTTATGAAAACATAAAACTGCATGTAAGAATCACTACATAAAAACATCAGTTAGTTGCACTTACCTGCTGGGATGCCTGTTAGCATTTTGGTAGAGTTGGAATGGCAACATAGAAAAAACTCAGTATCTTTAGCTGGCCAAATAATTATTTGATATTGTTTATACATTAATATTAATTGTTTATTAATTGTTCTTTCACTTTTTATATCCTTATCACTTTACAACAAGGTTAATTTTTAACCTTCCTCTTGGCTAAGCACTTACCATTACACAATGGGCAACTCTTAATGTTACATATTCTCCAACTCTTAACAAAGCAGAAATGCAAGAAAATACGAACTGAATGAATATTAAGGACTATTGATTTGAATATTTTAAAAGAATGTTGTTTCCAGATTTATTTAGAAAGTTCAAAGTAAGGATGCAGATAAAAATATTAATATTTACATAATAAACAGATTTAGAGATTTTATCTGTTCAATAAATCTTTATTTAGGACTTACTATTTAAAAGATGTTTTGACTATATAAAAATGAGTTAGATACTCATCCTATTAAAAGAAACTGAATAGAAAGAAGACATACCCCCAGAAATCATAATGGATAGAGAATTAGACCTCTTAAAGGTGGAAAAGAGAACTTTTGACTAGGAAAAGTAGAAAAGGCTTCGCAGAGGGTGGTAGTTGAACTGCACTTTAAAGAATTAGTGATAATTGGACGAGCATGGAAAGATGAAGAAGGACTTTGCAAATGATAGGAAATATCATAATCAAAACTCAGAAGCAAGAAGGTACAGGTCTTGTACCAGTAACAACACACAAGTCAGTTTATCAAGCTGAATATAGCCTTACAGTGCACAGTCTTAGTTAAAATATAGCTACTTGTTTTACACCGTCTTGAACTACTTTTAAATTATTACATCAATCAGCACAGCAAATATTTTCCAATTCTCCATTTTTAGAAGTACTTCACATATATCTTATTTGCCATTTTTTTCTTCTTAATTTTTCAAAATTCAAAAGTTAAACTTATGTATTTGTCTTCACATTCTCATTTATCTGTAAGGGGTTCAGTACCAAAATTCAGTATTTTTATTTCTACATTTAAAAAAAAAAAAAAGTTCAGGATCGATCTGGATTAATAGCGGTTCATGACTTTAAAGAAAAGAAAATAGTATCCAAACATTAACATGACAGAACAATTGAGAGACATGAGAATATCCTTTTAAAAAACTGCTTGGGAGATATGATAGCCATCTTTACGTGTCTGAAAGATTTGAAAGATTGTTTTTGGAAGGAAGGATTGATCATGTATATTTAAGAGTAGTGCTTCTCCAACTGTAGTGTGACTGTGAATCACCTGGGATTTGTTAATGCTGACCCTGATTCAGCAAGCTTGAACTGAAGATTTTACATTTCTAACAGGTTTCTAGCTGATGATGAGACTGACTGGTCTAATAACCTCATTTTGAATAGCAAGGCCAACATATGAAATAAGAATAATGGCAAGAAATTAGAGGAAGGCACTATCAGCTCAGATTTTAAAAAGTTACCGTCATTTCAAGCTGTCCAATATAAAAATGTTCTGCCTTTTGAAAAAGTAGATTTCTCTTTATCTTAACTATTTGAAGAGAGTAAATAACTATCAGTGGTATCAAAGAGGGAATTATTAAATGGAATATGTTTGATTAGATGACAAGTTAGGTCTCTTCTACTTAAAATTCAATAATTCTCTACTTGAACAAGAATACTTAAAGATAACTTTTGTACATTTGCAACCTGAACTATCTTTTCACAGGAAATGTAATCATTAATGTCTCTAAGTTGTTTTTATATTTTTTAATTTAAAAAAAGAAAATTTAAGATATTCAGAGAAGTTAATCTTAGTATTTATATAAAATGAAAGAAGAATTCAGTTATCTATACAGTAGTTCATATAATGCTATCTCATGAGAATCCACACATTACCAAGGTTGGTTGGATGGTTTTTGTACAAAATGTTAGTTTGATAGAAATTAAATTACAGATAGTTATAAAATTTGCAATAAAGTCAAATATGTTGTTCTTAAGAGCATAATTTGAAAATACAGTAAAACTCTTTAAAAAAAAAAAAACTTCAAGGGACTCAAAGAAAGAGGTGAATTTACAATACAGATTTGTTCTGATAATTAAAACAATGCTGAGGGATACCATAGGTGGTTTCCTTATCTACCTTTAGTAAATTTAAGTCAACACCTGATCCCAATTTTAAAATAGTTTTCCCAAACACAGTAAAAATGTATTCCAGGTAATAAAAGGAATAATGGCACACATAGACAGTCAATAAATATTCACTGGATCTAAGTAAAGTTATGTAGTCAGTGATTCTCAAGCAAGGATGAGGGTTTCCTTTCCTAGGGGGAAAAATGTATCAGAATTTCTAAGAAGAAAGGAATTGTTTTCTCAAATACTACCATCTTCCAGAGATTCTTGTGTGTCTTCTCCTTAGATAGAAAATAGAGTTTGAGGGTATTGACTACTTCCTTTTCTGACTGAGTCTTGCTGAAGCAGAGGAAATGTAATGAACCACTGAAAAGGTTTTATGTAAATTAAAGTTGTAAAGCCAGTTTCAAATTGTATTCTGCTACTGGTTAAAGAAAGTAAAGCATAGACTATAACCTTGGAACTATATGGATAAAAACTTAGAGAATCCATTGGATTTCGTTTAAGTAGAACTCTAGTGAGCCATACATTGTAAAGATTTTTAGGGAAGGTGAATGAAACAGAATAACCACTCCAAAAACAGATTTCTCCAGCTGGATACATGGTCAACATTCACTGTCGATCTTGGCTAAATTTCTACTGTAAACCAAAGATATAAAAAGGGATATATGTGTACTCCTTTACCCACTTTTTCTTTCCTAGCAGCAGCAGTCCAATAGAGTAATTTGTAAACATAAAAATAACATTAAAGCATGAGGGAATTTGGATATAAAACTGTAAGAAAATAATGTCTCACATTTGTCATATACTGAAAGTATTAAACAGGACCCTTCCATATGTTTCTTAGCAGTTTGCTTTCAGTCTTAAGTGCTGTTTCCTCAGGGTTTCATACAAATTTGACCTCTCAATCCCAGATCAATTGATTTCCTAGGAGTCATTTGTATGTAATAGCAGGTGCCCCAGTATAAATAATGGGTGGATAGAAGTATAATATCTACATCAGAAGGCCTTGTTCTACTCTGTGCTCTCAGACCAACTGCAGTGTTCTACTAGAGGCCACGACTAGAGAGGGATGCAGATAAATCGAATATTTTCAGAGAGAAGTGTCCAGCAAGGAGAATCCAAATGAACCAAAGCATAAGACAAAAGAATTTAAAGGTAGAAAAGGACACATATTCACACTCAGGGAACAGATTGAAGGTACAGCTCTACCACCTGCACTTTTTGACAATAGGCAAATAATTTCACCTCTCTGAAATTTGTTATCATTTGTGAAATGGAGATCCAATACTTCTCGAATCTTACATGATTGTTGTGAAAATTAAATGCAGTTGAATACGTGAGCATATTAAATACAATAGGATATGTAAAATTCCATTTATCTCTTCATGGACACCTCCTGACATCATCAAACTGCCTGGCCTAATCTGATCCCAAAAGCCCCATTCCCTTTTCAGAATAAGTTGACATCCCCTGTGTAGTATATCAAGAAATCCTGGCTGGGCACAGTGGCTTGCGTCTGTAACCCCAGCCCTTTGGGAAGCGGAGGCGGGCGGATCACCCAAGGTCAGGAGTTGGAGACCAGCCTGGCCAATATGGAGAAACCCTGTCTCTACTAAAAATACAAAAATTAGCTGGGCGTGGTGATGGGAGCCTGTAATCCCAGCTACTTGGAAGGCTGGTTGACACAGGAGAGTCGCTTGAACCCAGGAGGCAGAGGTTGCAGTGAGCCGAGATCCCATCACCACACTCCAGACTTCAGCCTGGGCAACAGTGCGAGACTTGGTCTTAAAAAAAAAAAAAGAAAAAAAAAAAAACCTTTGTGAAAGGAAATTTGTAAAGATTTTATTTTGCAAATCTAAAATAAGGATCCACATTTATATTTTGATATGTACATAGAATTGTGTCTCAGTCCAGAATTGCTTTTTAGAAAGGCAGGGAAGCATTTTTATTATAAGGAAGTTTGGTTATCTACCTCCTTAATCTGTTTCTCTGATAATAGCAAAGTATAAGCATAACAATATCATTATTTTTTAATAATAATTTTAAAACTTGTGGTCATTTAGAGATAGGATGGTTAGAATTTTTTCTCTCGAACTATCTGGGGAAAATAAGGAAATTAATATAATAAACATGATAGCAAGGTCAGTCTTTAACTTGTTTAAGAATAAATGCTTTTCAGTCACTTTAGAAGCATCTACTGAGACAAAAACAAGTGAAGTATAAATTAGAAATTGCATTTATTCATAAAAGGATAATGACTGTTAGACTAGTTCAGACTGATATTTCTTTGAAAAATCATAAAGAGGCTATTCACTATGTTGGTCTCTTGAACCATTATTGTGAAGTATGTTTTATGTCCTATAGTTTGTATGTAACAATAAATTTGTGATATTTATGTTCTAAGATCTTAGAAAACACCTTAAGATCTTTGCATCTTCTATAGTTTTATATTTATATTTAGTTACTTGTATGAAAGCACATAACCAACTTGTTTAAAACACTGTATTGCTTCAAAGTAACTTTTGCTTTTTGCTGTCTTTTGCAAACTTACTTGTACTTCAGATAATTTTTTTTTCCTTTGAAAAGCCTTGCAGTGAGAGAATTTCTTTGTTTGGATGATCCACCGGGTCCATTTGATAGCCTAGAAGAAAGCAGGGTAAGTGCTGTATTATATAGCACATGAAAAGAGGAACAAATAATACAGTACAATAACTGCATTGTTTCTTGAATGGAATAGCAAACAGCAAAATGTTATAATTTCAGGCTATGGTAGTTTTGCACAGAAAGCTTTCAATGTTTGAGTCAAAGGTTTCTTTCATTGAAATACATAGACTTAGTTCAAGGAAAAAGTAAAAATTCATACATGTCATATAGTCAATAAAGCTCTAAAATTAAATCCCCCTTTATTTATTTTTACTGTTTCAAAATAAAATGATTTGGGGAACCTTTTTATATTTAATAATACTATGTGCAAACTGAGTTTTCTTCCATTTGAGTGTCAAAATAAGGAACCTACAGCTAAAATCAAATTTAAAACTTCAGGGCTGGGAGTGATTGTCTTGTTATCGGTTTAGCTCATGCCTAATGCTTCTCAAATTACATTAATTGACGTGTTAAAGTGTCCTATTTCTTGAAGCAGTAGCCTAGATTCACAAAACAGATTTGGTAATAGTAGATTACCTAGGATTTTGTGCAAGTTTTTTCCCCAAATGTTTAATGGTATTTAAATGGAACAGATTTAATTGGTAGGTTTGTGATGTTTTTCATTCAAGCTGAGTCAGTTCTTTGTGTTAGATTGAATGCTATGGCCTTTTTTAAAACAGCTTTATTGGAGTAAGATTTTCATCTATAGTATTCACTAATTTGTTGTTTGCTATTCTACTGAAAAGGTACAATTTAATACTTTTTAGTAAATTTATAGAGCAGTTAACACCATCATCACTGTAACCCAATTTTAGAATATTTTCATCACCTCAAAAAGAATTCCTATAAGCCATTTTGCAATCAGTCTGCAGTTCCAGCCCAAGGCAACCACTGATCTGCTTTCATTCTCTACATTTGCCCTTTCTGGATATTTCATATAAATAAAATCATACAATGTGTGTTTGTATATGTGTATTAGTTTACCATATACATAACTTTTATATATACAGTCTGCCTTATATATAGTATTATAATGTTTTACACCTGATTTATTTCACTTAGCATGCTTTTTAGGGTATTCCATGTTATCCTCTATAATTACTTCATTACTAAATGATTTTTCATTGTTTGCATATACCAGATTTTGTTTATCCAGTCACCCGTTGAGGGATACTTAGATTGTTTCCAGTTTTGTGATATCAGTAATGCTATGAACAATTTCATATAATGTTCTGTATGAACATATGTTTTTATTTCTCATGGACTGAGAAATTCTACTTCCCTGAGAGTAGAAGTGTTTGATCATGTAACAAGTTTAACTTTTTAAAGAAACCAATAAAGTTTTTGAAAGTTCCTGTATTACATTCTCACTTGTACTGTACGAGAGTTCCAGTTTTTCTATGTCCTCACAAACATTTGATATTATCTGTCTTTTGGATTATAGCCATTCTCTTTGATAGGTATTGATATTTCATTATAGCTTTAATTTTCATGTTTCTAATGATTTTTTGATATTGATCATCATGTCACATGCTTTTTAGCCATTCATGTTTTCTTCAATGAAATGTCTGTTCACGTCTTGCCCATTTTTTTAAAACTTGAACTGTTTATCTTATTCAGTTATAAAATCTTTACTTTAGATATTAATCCTTTATCAGAGATACAATTGGTAGATATTTTCTTCCAGTCTGTAGGTGTCTTTTCATCCTCTTAATGGCATTCTTTGAAGTGCAAAAGTTTTTAATTTTAATGAAGTTTATTTTATCACTTTTTAAAATGGCTTATGCTTTTACTATTGTATTATAAAAACTCTTTGCCTAACCCAACATTACAAATATTTTCTCATATTTTTTTAATTTTATATTTTAGCTCTTACAGTTAGGTTTATGGTCTGTTTTGGGTTAATTTTTTTATAAGGTGTTAAGTAAGGGACTTAAGTTCCTATATGTATCTTAATTTTTTTTTAGTTCCTTTTGTTTAATCATGTTGACACTTCTGTCAGAAATCAAATGACCATGAAAAGAAGGGTTTGTTTCTAGACTCTTAGTTCTATCTATTGATCTTTTTTCCTATCCCTGTGCCAGTATGATACTGTCTTGTTTACTGCAACTGTATTTTCGTTACTGTTTGCATAGCATATCTTTTCCCATTCTTTTACTTTCAGTCTGTTTGTATCTTTCAACTCGAGATCCATCCCTTCTACATAGCGTGTAATTGGGTCTTGATCTTTTATTCTTTCTGACATCTGTCTTTTACATCTGCCATTTTGCAATTTGTTTTCTGTTTCTCTGTCTCCATCCTGTTCCTCCTTTTTTCTTGTGTAAAATAATTTTTAGTATGCCATTTTGATTCTTCTATAGAATTTTTTACTTTTTCTTATTTTTCAGTGACTGCTCAAGGTATTATATTTCAGTGAAATATAAACTTGGCTCCAATATATCTCCATTTCCTCCCTCTTTCTTTGTGTTGCTATTGTTATCTAGTTTACGTATATCTTATAAACCTAACAATACAGTGCAATAATTATTTCTTTATACAATCTTTTTGCTTTAAAGAACTTAAGAAATGGGAAAATATATTTCATAGATTATTTTATTTAATCCACATGTTTACTATTTCTGGCCCTCTTCATTTGTTCCTGTAGGTTGATGTGATCATCTGGTATCACTTCCTTTCAGTCTCATAATCTTCCTTTAGTTTTTCTTGTAAGACAGGTCTGCTAGCAACAAATTCCCAGTCTTTGTTTATCTGGAAATGATCATTTTTGAAAGACAGTTTTACTGACAGATTTTTTTCTTCCAGCACTTTGAATGTGTCATTCCACTGCCTTCTGGTCTCTATTATTTCTGAGAAAAAAAAAAATCAACCTTTAATTATATTGTTTCCATGTGCATGATGAGCCGTTTTGCCCTTGCTGCTTTCAAGATATTCTGTTTGTTTGACTTTCAGCAGTTTGATTATGATGTATTGGGATGTGGATCTCTTTCTGTTTCTCATACTTTGGCTTCATTGAGCTTTTTGGACTTGGCAGATTAATGTTTTTTATCAAACTTTGGAATTTGTTAGCCATTATTTCTTCAAATACTTTTTCACTCCCTTTTTCTCTCCCTTCTCCTTCTAGGACTCTCATTACTTGTATATTTGTACACCCTATGTTGTGCAAAATGTCTCTGAAGTGGTGTTCATTTTTCTCCAATTGCTTTTTTCTCTGATCTTCAGATTGGAAAATTTTTATTGATCTTCAGATTCACAGATTTATTTTTTGGTCATATTAAATCTCCTGTTGAGCCCCTCTTGTTAGTTTTTCAGTTACTGTGCTTTTCAACTCCAGAATTCTCAATTGCTTATTTTTTAACTGTTCTTTCTGTTTATTGAGATTTTTCTATTTGTTGAGTCATTATTATCTTTATCATTAATTCAATTTTTTCTAGTGTATTTCCTGTATATAATGGTTGCAATAAAAATCACTGCCTGATATGCCTAACATTTGGGACCATTTAGAGATAGCTTCAACTGACTACCTTTTTTCCTGAGTATGCTTAGATTGACCTTGTTTCTTTGAGTGTTTTATACATTTTTTTTGAATACAAGATGTTTTCGGTGATATACTCTAGTAACTCTTGACTCTGATTTCTGTCTCTTATAGTGGTTGTTATTATTTTGTCTGTCTGTTTAGTAACTTGACTGGACTAAATCTGTGAAATTTGTCTCCTCAGCAATGTATGGTCACTGTTGTCTTTTCTCAGTGTTTTTTTCCTCATTTTATTTTTAAGCCTGGCTTTCTTGTGTTTCTGCATAGCTTAATGTTCAGTCAACAGTTGGTCATAAATTTTGCTTATACACCTTGAACTAGTAAGATTTTTACACTCTGGTAATGGATCTGTATATAGTCTAAGGAGTGCATTTAAGGTTTAAGGTCATTTTCAGATATGCCATAGATTCTAGTTTCTGCTGAATCCTCTCCCATCTCCTATTCTATACACGTATATGGGCTCTGTTGTCCTAGGATATGTGGTCCCAGGATCTGTGGAGAGCTTATCAAGGCCCCATAGATATATCATTTTCCAGAACTCCCTGTTAAATCCTGGCTAGATCATTGCTTCTAGGTTTCATTCAGCCTTTTGGCTACCATTTTGTCACTTCAATTCAGAATCTGTTTAGAAAATTGACTTATATTTTAAGTGAACTTTGGGCTAACGAAGCTAAGTGTTTATCACTCCTTTCCAGCTCAAGGATTCCAGGATTTTTATTCCTTTAAAGTATAGTATTCTTTCTTCTTGCAAGACAGCCTTTAGTTCATTTTTAATTTTTAAATTAGCCCTTTTACAAAAATAATAATTTGAATATCTTTTTAGTGTTCTTAGTTCAAAATATATGCTAGTTAGTAAGTGTCAAGTATCATAATGGGCAGGGGAAGAGTGGAATCCTAACTGATTTGAGTTAGGATTTCTCATCCATGATACTGGCATTTAGAGCTGGATAACTTTTTGGTGGCCATGGCTAGGGCACAGCCTGACCTGTGCATTGAAAATATTTAGCAGCATCCTTGGCCTCTACATATTAGACACCAATAGCATACCCACTCATGACAAGTAAAAATGTCTCCAGACGTTACCAAGTGTCTTCTGAGTTTAAAATCACTCCTGGTGTAGAACCACTGATTTAAATAAATCATCAAGGCAATATTAAGTTTATATACCCAACAGAGTAATGTGGAATGTATCTCCTAGACTCTTTCTCTAAAATAAATGCATTTCCTACAGGTGTATTTGAAAATATGTGTTTGTTTGAACAGTGAATGAAAAAATTCTGTGCTTGCTCCTCTGCTTCAAAGTAAAATCTACAGTAACCTAATGAGATATATATCTCTTTTGTCTGCAGACTTACTTAAGCAGCCTCTCATTTTAAGAAAAATCCCAAAATGACTTATTAACCCACATTTCTTGGAGTGTAAAATTAAACTTATTCAAAGGATACTCAGTTCAGCAAATCTTTAACCTACTTTTCTCTGTT